GGCCAGGGGTTGATGTTATTATTATTACTTTGTTTAACTCCTAGGGCCGGGTGGTGGTGCCAAGGTTGTCTGGCTATTTATCTTACTTTTGTTTCTTTCTCGCTTTCCTCCTGTCTTGTGAACTAGGCAAGGTAGGGGGAGGAGGGCAGCAGGAGTAGTAGTGGTCTCCTTCCTTATCCCCACCTTTGAGAATTTTCACTAATTAGTGGGAGTTCTCACTTTTATTTTTACTTTCTGAGTCTCTTTGCAAGACAGAACGATAGTGTTTTATGTCATATACTTGTGCTGAATTTTTCTGATGAACCATGGTAGCTACAAAACCTTCTTTCATTTGAAGGAACAAGTGTAATACACAGGGGAGCAGCAAGCAACTTTCTATTACCAGTAACATACTTATAATGAGGGTGTTAAATTTTTATAGCTGGAAACTGTTTTCTAAATGAAGACCTAGGATCAAACCTGTGTTAAACTTGTACAGGCACATGTATCAACTTTGTCATGTCCTAAGCAGGTTAGTTTTGTCACTGGGTCTGAAAAGCTTTTTCTTAGCGAGTAACACAGTTTTTTTTAATAACAAGTTTTTAAGAGCCAGATGCTTGAACTCAGGGCATCTGTTTGGGGAAAGAGTTAAAGTAAAGTTATCTTGAGGCATTAACTCTTTTGCTTCTCAAGGCCATTGGTCTCTTATGTTAGCCTTTTTATAAACACAACATGAAGAAATATCTAGGCTGCCAGCAATGTTTTCAGCCAACTGAGCAAATAGGTTTTTTTCTGTTTTTACTAAAGAAAGAGGTTCTACTAAGGAACCTCTAAAGGAAGAGGTTTTGGTAACTTCTGGTTTATATGTTTAAAGAATGACTGTAAGACTCGGAATTGTTGCTGGACTGAACAGGTCTGGGTTTCCTAAGTAGTAAATGTACAGTGGGGACACCTTATATAGGTGTTTCTTCTAGCGTGGTTATGGGGAGTGTAACAACAAAACAATGTACAGCATATTCATATCCAGCAAGGGTAAAAGAGGTCCTCACTTGGGGAAAAGGTTGAACACAGCAACAGAACAATAGGAAAACAATTAGTATTGTGGGGAAACTATTAAGATTTTTAACTACATTTACTTGCTTGATGAGTCCTCCAGCCTCGGCCGTGCGTAGACTAGTCAGCCTCCGGAGTGACCAGAGCAGGGCTGTTGTCCTCAGCAGCAGCTTGGTCTCGTCTCAGGATCAGTCGGGTTGGATGATCTGCGTCCTGTTAGCCGGTCCACTTGTCCTGAGCTGCCGGTGTTAGCTGACTGTGGTGGATCCAAGACGCAACACCTGCAACTTTAACAGCAGTGGGAGTGGACAAGGTTACAGTATAGGGCTCATCCTATATGGGTTGTAGAAAAATTAGGTTTTACTTTAAACAGAGTCACTAGATTTAAAGGGGTGTCAGGCTTTTAGGTGTTTTCATTTATTTAATTATGAACACTTTGTATGGCTATTTTTAAAGCCTGCATTTGCTTTCTTAAGGTTAATTTCTTTAGTTTCTGGAGGTCACCTTTAATTTGACCTATGATTTGGGGGTGGCCGACCACACAAAATTTTATAGGGCAAATACCTAGTTTGTTAGGTGGGGGTGCACCTGACTCGGAGGAGGACCATAGGCAAAAACCTGATTTTTATCTTAAATGAGCAAACAAGCGCTAGCATGTACAATAGTCTCCAGCATGGGGCAGTTCTGCAAAGTCTATAAGCAAGTTTTCACAAGGTATGGCTCTTTTTACTGTTTAAGTTTCTTAGAGGAGGTGTTTTTCTCCCCACCCCCACCCCCCCCTTTGTAACTCTATTTAGTGACTTAGCCTTCAGTGAGAAATTGGAATCCAGATACAGCAGAATCTTGCTGCTTTTAACTTCTAATGTGACCATGGGCTCCTGGGAGCCTAATGAGAAGGTGCTTAGTCTGCCCCAGTCTTTATATTCTTCAGCTCCTGTCAGTCTGATCAGATCAGTATTTGGTTCCTCCAAGGTGCGGCAGCCCTTGGCTGATGGCCTCTTTGTCTTGTGGCCTTTGCCGTTTCCTTTGTTGCCTTTTTGAACATTTATCCTTCTAGTGTCCTTTTTTTTTGCATCTCGCACATTAATCTCTCTCTAGCCTTGTCCGGCTC